CTCTTATTTGCATCTAATTGAAGAATGGCCAGAAAGAACTGGATTCAAACTGTAGCAGCTTAACTATCTGTGGCTGCTGCTTCAAGCATCCATCTTCAGCAATAAGAAAAACAGCCCTCCTTGCACCAATAGAGACTTCATTATTTTTCTTTTTCATATTCATTAACTAATCATTTCATTTTTGTGTTTCATTCACACAGGCAAACGTGCAGGCACCTATGCTGGGCAGTTCAGTTATAGATTCAGCAGTGTGTCAGCATTTATTTCATGTATATCAAGATTTTTTAGGAAAGGGGCCATGCATCCCAGCTTCACCTTGCAGGGACTGTTTGGTTGTGAATTTGCTCTAATAAGGCTGTTTTTCAAACATTATCCATTGGAGGCTGAAGGCAGCATTTTTTTTGATTAGTGGGAGAATACATTTGACTTGACATTGGTGCAGTAGGATTGGGGTAGCCGTGACATCAAAAGTGCAAATGGATAGAAAAACTGCTGTCTGAGACAACTTTTTAAAATACCTATGCTCTCGGGTTAAACTTCTTATAGCGCTATGCCAGAGAGGTATATGGGTAGTAGCTAATTATTCTTTTTATGAGTAGAGCAGGGGTTTCCAACCTGTTTTGGGTTGCCAGCCCTTTTATAACAGCAAAGTAACCTGCGAACCCCTGCCATGACTGCATAAAAACTCATTTTTAATAGGGTAAAGTTATCCCATCTCAGAAAGTTGAGGTTTCTTTCTCCCCCAAGGAGCCTGTTTGTCATACTTAGGCATATACACTAAGTTTAATATCCTTCTTCAAAAGGTCAAGGAAAAAAATTATTTAACAAGGGCTACAATACATATGAACTGTGATGAAAACACCCAGATTGGGAATCACTATGTAAGACTTTAAGTCCAGAGAAATAATGTAGACTCTTAACTCTTTTTGTTGATTCTTTTGGGTGCTGTGGTCTTAATTCTATTTATATTCCCAAGATTAGACTATTATAAAACTATTTTCTAAAGGAAACTAGAAGTTTTATTTCCCTTTGAGAGTAAGTGACAGGTACTCCTTACACTTATGTCCTTTCAGGTTGGAACCAACTTATAGGGCGTTCAAGATAAGTGAGATATTTTAGGGATTTTACCAGTTCCACAGTGAGCTCCCATGATTGAGTGGGGATTCAAAGCCAGGCCTCCTGAGCCCTAGCCCAATCTACTACACCATAATGGGTTTCCCACCCACTCTTCAGAAAGCACATTAAACATCAGTCCAGGCATAGTCTGATTCTTGTTGTTCCTCTCCTGCTGGAGGTTGGATGTCTTGGCTGCCTTAGATTCTTTTAAGGAGAAAGACTGAGTAAAAATATTTTAGCCAACTAACTAACTAACTAACTAACTAACTAACTAACTAACTAACTAACTAACTAACTAACTAACTAACTAGGCACTTTTTACTTTAAATGCAAACACTTAAATCAATTACATTGTGTTGCATCCATACTAGCCTGCCAGGTTCTTCAGCCAGTAAGTTCTGTCTTTCTCCCTTTTATTTTTATCTTGAATGATCAGCTGTAACAAGTTCTGCTTTTCATCCCTTATTACATGGTCAAAGTATGCTAGCTTTCATAGTAGTAATAATTTATTTTTATTTTGTGTGTTTTGATTTTTGCTCTTTATTCATATACTTTAATACTTCTTCACTGGTCAGTCCAAGACATTCATAGTGTCCTGGAATAAATCCACATTTCTGATCCTTCTGTCTTTATTACCGTTTCCTGTATTAAAGTCTATTATTAATAATTTCTTGAATCAAAACTTCTGTTTACCGACAGCTCTGCCAGCTTGGTTTGTGGTGCTTTGTCAACTATTTTCTGGTACTCATAGAAAGCATCCATGTACACATTCATGTCACAGTATCTTTCCCCAAATGCATGCAGACCGCATGCTGCTTCAAAAGAATGCATATAATAAATGTGAATCCTTATTAGTCCTTTATGGCAGAGTATACTTCTCAGAATAACTCATCTCATTGCTCACTGTTTAAACCATGCTGGGGAATGTGTGGCCTTCCAAGTGCAGTTTAATTGCATCTCCTACCACCTCCCATTTTAGCTAGGGCCTATGGGAGTTGTAGTCCAGAAACAAATTCCCCACCGATGTTCCAAATTATTGAAAGAGAAATCATTTTCCATTTTAAAATACCCAGCACTGTAAATGTTGGTAACAGGAGAAGGAAAGCTTGCATAACTGAATGTTTTTCTAGTGATTATGAATTATTGTTATTTTTAGACAATTCATTTGGTTTTGATTTGGGGGCACTAATTACTTCTGTTGTAAAAAATTAAAGCAACCAACCAAACAAAAAACCAACAAAATCTCACATAAATCTTGCGCAACCTGTGAAGTCTTCAAGAAGAGCTTTCCTATTTGTCACCCAGAAGCCTGTAACAAGCAGCTGCTCATACGTGGGTTTCAAAGTTATGTAGAAACATAATTCGGGTCCAACCCAGTTTAAGGCTATATAAGACAAAAACAGTATCAGATTTTGTCTAAAATGGTATCAGAAACTCAAGGAAAACTATATTAGCAGACATACTACAATAGTAGCGAAAATAACGGAACAACAGTGTTCATCTTTTAAAAAGGTGCTCCTACAATAAATGTTCAGTAAATCCTGTGAAATGTTAATGCATGGGTTTAGCAATGCACTCAAGGTCAAACAGTCAAAAAATTTACTGTGGTCAACAGTAACAATGTGACCTCTGTTAAACATTGCCTTTGGCATTACTCTTTCACGGTAGTTAAAATAAGCGTATGTAGTTTGTCTACCCTGGTAAAGCAGTGAACAGTGAGTGCACTGTAGGATTCTTGGAGGTAAAGAAAGCTACTATAAACTCACGCTTAGAAAATATTGGCCCATTTGAATGTGCCCATGCTCCTTCATTCCATCAACAAATCACAAATATATTTGCTTTTACTCTAAACTGAATGTGAATTTCTTTCTGTTAATTCTGTCCTTGTTGGCCATAATAATTCTAGCAGTAAATTTTAACCATCTTTTTTATGTGACAAGTCCCAGTTTCTTGTATTTCTTCTTTAGGAAGATACAAGCTGTCCACATTTCCCTCCATATTTAGATATTTTAACATTATTCTGTGCTTGTATCATCATCTTCATTGATCCTAGAGCCACCTAGAGTGGTCGCAATGACTAGATAGGCGGGGTATAAATGGAATAAATAAATAAAATAAATAAATCCATTATTGATGGGAAAAATAAAAGCTAGGAGGAAGATTTGAATAACAAGACAGCCTTCTTGAAACATAATGTCTTAAATCCAGTTCCTAATCGTGACTAGAGTACACTTATTGAATTAATGGGATTTCCAGAAATGTTGCTTTGAAATTCAGCAATCAAATCAGCATGTCTCCTCTAGTTGGGAGTAGCAACTGAATTTGAGCCAGTGGGAAATGTGAAGTTTTAATTAAGCTGGAAATATCTATAAGATATCTATATTTGAAAATAATATAATTTTTGTTACCTTCTGAGTTTGTGAACATTATTTAGCAGTCAAAAGTCTGGAAACGAAATCACCCATGATTCTGCATAAGTCGGGTGTTTTTTTTCCCCAAAGAGCTTTGCCTGTTCCATCTCTTAAAATCATTATAACAATAGTCTCTTGAATATGTCACACACTGATACAGAACCTCAGATGGATGTTAAGTAACCAGGGAAGGCTAGCTAACAAAGAGTATCAAATACTTCTATGCTCTTCTATTTGTTTCTGTTTTCTTTTAAAAGTAACCATTATGTTTCTAAATGGTAAAGCTAATGGTAAGGCTAATGTGAAATTGGAATTCAGGTTCCTATGAGACCTACATAAGGTTGTTGGGTTTTTTTTTAAACCCCTTTTATTTATTCTTTAATTTTTATCAAGCTGTCAGTGTATGTTGATGGAGAGCTATTTTTCTTCTATTGGTGTAAGTATATATTTAAGAAGATATTTCTTTTCGGGGTTTTGTTGGTGGTTCATTATTAGAAATATTGCAGACTTTAAAGTTTATGGTAAAATTCTCTTTTTGTATGCAGTAGAATTTCAGGGATCCACAGAGCAAAATAGCTTCAAGTTTCCCAAAGTCCACCCCTTTTTCATTAACTGACAAAGTTTCAATAACTCACTCTGAGACATTTGTTGGTGAAATAATAAAAACATTTTTATTTACAGTTGCTTGAAATTACAGACTTGTGTATTCTGCTTTCTTTACTGCACACATACTTAGCAACCAACTGAACTAATCAGCACCAAACAAAAAATTACCAACAACAGACCAAAGAGATGGGAGAACCAATCAGCAGAGAGGTGGGCTGTTTCTGAAATCAAAGGATGGAAGGAACAGTTATTTAGTGTTGGATAGACAAACAATCAACCCAGGTCAGAAAAGTGCCCCCCAGTCACACAAGCCACAGATAGCACGTGAGGTTGCAAACAAAACTCCAAGAAGCACATCTGAGAGTTAGATACTCTCCTTTAAACTGAATTGCCTATTCACTGAAAGTTTGTTTGCGTGCCTACATATGCAACAGGAAGAGGTATTTCTTTCCTCACCCTATTTTTCTATCTGTTCTGTGCAGCTGAATTAGAGATACAGTATGTAGTTCCTATTTGTTTTCCTGCTCACTAGGATGAAATACACCATGGAGTTCATTGCAGTATTCTTCAGTTTCTCTTTATAGTGTCAAGAATTATGAAGTTTGATTCGAACAGTTGAGATGAACTAGAACTCAGACCCAAATGCTGATTCTGGAAGACAGCTGAAGCCTCTCTGAGCTTGATCATTTGCCCTTTCACCCAGCACTCCTACTTCCCTAATGCATCCTAATTCTCTTTAAAACTTAAGGAGTTCTACATCTTTCTAGCATTTCATTATCCTTTTCCAATAAAAGCAGAATAGATTGGTCTTTATTTAGTGCACTCTGATTGCACCATAAAAAATATGTGTTTGTCTGTGTCCTTCAGATTGACACCAGAGGATGTGGGAATGGATGACACTATGCTAAACTCCAGTTCTGCAGAGATGAGACCTGGTAAGACAACCTTTCAATTATCTGTTGGATGTTCATTCTACTCCTAAGCCTTTAATTATTCATTGTGAGGCATGTTTCTGCTACCTTATTCTGGTGTAAGAATAAAAAGAGGTGTTAGCTTTGCTTTATTTAGTTAATTCCATGCCTTTCTTGACAAATAATCTCCACTTGCACTGCACAGTTCACTTGCTTCTGCATTTTGGTGTCATCAGCCTGCAAGTAAACTGAGCTCATGTGATAATTAGTTACTCTCCAGTTAGTACTTCAGTGCTAAATTTGGCTACAACGTATAGGGGAAACAGCTGTGTTGGTGCTTGAATAATGCCCCAAATCCTAATTCCATTTCAAGGTGATACTTTATTTGTTTTTTTAAAAGGCATAGAATTTGTGTGAGAGTTGATAATGTTAATGATATCTTTATTGGGCATTGTATTATTAAAAGGCAAGAGGAAGGTGAATGAGAAGATGACTTCCCAGTTCTGAGGAAGGCAGTTTTCCAGGAAAGCTCAGATACCATTGCCATCAAAAAACCATCTGTGTTTAGCTTTCTCTTTAACATGACAATTGACTCACAATATCTGTACTGACTTACTCACTTGTGGAAAGAAGAACTGATGCTTTATCAAGATCACACACAAACAAAAAAAATCAAACAAAGGACCTAGATGGTAGTCTCATTACTAAATTTTACACCATCTGAAGGTTCCAAACATTATCTATATGTTAATTACAAATGTAGCATATTTACCACTCTTTATCATGGTTTCCATTTAGTTAACTCTTCTCATTGGCAGTAGAATAGATTGGAAGATTGCCAGAAGCAGATGGAAAGGAACAAGCACTTTTGAGTCTTGTCATGCAAATAGATGTTCATTTGCATAACACTGGATAACATACTATATTGTTTGTTTATTTGCTTTTTTTTTAAGATTATGGAAATTGAATCCTTGGGTAGATTTGGATCTCTTCCCCCCACTCCCTGGGTTTAGATCAAAATATTAAATTAGACTAAGTGTTGTACTTTAATATAGTTGGCTGATACATACATATTTAAATGTTATTTAGCATGAAGAGTTTTGTCTAAGAGACTCTTTTATTTTTACACTTATTTAGAACCTCCCAATTCTCTAGATCTTGATGCTTCCCATCCCAGGAGGATAAAACTCACTGCTCCAAATATCAATCTGTCTTTGGATCAGAGTGAAGGATCTGTGCTTTCTGATGATAACCTGGAGAGTCCAGATGACATTGATATCAACGTAGATGAACTTGACACACCAGATGAAGCAGATTCTTTTGAATATGCTGGACATGGTAATGAACTAAACTGCTAATATGAAAGAGCACGTGCAGTGATGACAATGTGCATATTCAGTATTATTTTTAGATAGGCTTGGAAAGGCAATTCTCACCCAAGGGGCCCAGCTGTCAACTCAGCTCTGTACTCAACATTATGAAAATGAAAAGAAATACACAGTATAATGTGGAATCAATGTTTTTAGTTCAGCTGGCACAGCACATTTTGCTGGTGTAACAGGTACCACCTTTCTCCATTTTCTGGCATGTGTAACGATCCAATGCAAAAGATCCATCACAAAAGTTTCAATGGGCACACTGTTGTATCAGTTTGCCTCAACCGAGCACCTGTTTTGTTTCCTCCTCTAAACTATGTTTTTATTTTTTTTACTATGCTTGCCAAAGTTAGTGCTGTAACAGATAAGTGCCATGTCACTTGGGGAAAAAAAAGAGGATAAAGGTTGCCCCAGTGGAAAAGAACCATCTCAGCAAATATGTTTCCTTTCCTCGTGGCTGCAGCTTTCTGTATCTGCTCCTGTAGACCCCGGCAACAGATAATTTATTGTGTTTGTATAGACAGCTACAACAATTTCACCTGCAGCAGAGACCCATTTGAAAAAAACTTTGAACCAAACTGGGTTTTCCCCTCCGTGAAGTCGCATCATTAGTTAAGCCTGCAGAAAGCAAACAGTGTAACTTGCAGTAGCTTCTTACTGCCAATTAAGGAGTCCCTGCTTGGATTTTCATGTGCACATCAAGCCTATGGCTAGGTTTGGAAAACGGAAGCAGAAATTAGTTAATTGCTAGTGGGAAGCTGCTGCATCGTAAATAGTTTGCTTTCTGCAGGTGTAACAACATAGCAAGATTTTGGCCATTGTTCTACAAAAGAAAATAAAAATTTCATGATGACTCTGATCAAAGGTCCATCCATCTCAGCATTGGGTCTGTTGACAGAGATCATCCTGATACCTTAGTGGAGTTCAGAAGCCTGGTATATAGCATAGCAGCTGTGATAAAAATTAATGGAAAGCAATCTAGATGCTTAATTAATATGTAGTCTTACTGTATTATATACTGATTTTAAATGTTCCTGAATTGTTTTTACTGAACTTGCTCTTTTTAGAAAATCTTAGACTTGCAATAAATACAATATATTAAACAGAATGTCTCTAATGTTAAATGTTAATAATACCACATGCACATAAGAAATGAAACGTGTACTTATATAAACCACTTGCTAAAATGGAATAATCTTTTCTTATGTAGAAACAGGTTTTGCTAAGAGCCAATTTTCATCTGCAACCAAATAATGTAATGTAGGTTTCTGGACAGATCCTGAATGGTTTCACTGCAGAGCATAAGTGTAGGTGTTGTATATTTAAGCAGTTATAATAGATGAGAAAATGTTACGTTAGGTCTATCCCTGACATGGAAGCTTCTTATTTATTTATTAGATTTATATACCAGCCATCTAGAATGTATCTACTCTGGGCAGTTTACATATAACATAAAAATAAAATCCAGATTGATCACAGAGTCCAAGATGGGAAAGGAAGAAAAGAAGAAAAAGAAGAAAGAGAGAGAAAAAAGAAAAGGGGAGATAGGTTAGGTAATGGCTGTAGGGAAGGCCTGCCTCTATAGCCATGTCTTCAAGTTAATCTTGGAGGGCCTCAGAGAGTTCCCTACAGGTAAGTTATTCCAGAGGCAAGGGGCCACTGCTGAAAAGGTCAGATTTCTAGTTTTTTTCCCCACCAGGCCTCTCTTGGCGTTGGGCCCCTCAGCCACCCGGTCTGACTGGTGCTGGTGATATGGGTGGAAGAAGGTGCTCTGCTTTTGCTCTGGCATGCTAGTTTCTGTGTGCTGGACAGGCTTATCTATAGGGGGATGGGCAATTATAGGGAGATATGGTTAAATATAATTCCCTCATCTGTAACATGAAATGGCACCACCTAGCAAGATATATACCACCTTATTCTGCTGATTGTATGGGCTGGCTCTGAAAAGCATTTAAGATCAAATGATTCCAGACTATGGAATGTCCTCCCGACTGAAATTCGTCTGGCGCCGACTCTGATGACATTTCGGTGCCAGGTCAAAACCTTCCTGTTCCAGAAGGCTTTTAATTGAAATAATATCAGCTGTGGGCCCGATGGCAATTTTTAGAGTATATATTTTTAATTGCATTTCAATTATTTTGCCTTTTTTTGTATTTTAAATGTTGTAAGCTGCCCAGAGACCTTCTGGGCAGCATTTAAGTTAAACAAACAAACAAACAAACAAACAAACAAACAAACAAACAAACACACACACACACACACACACACACACACACACACACACACACACATACATACATACATACATACATACATACAGGAGGTAAAGATGATTGTGAACACACCATATACCTGTAGGCTACATCCTGGCAGCATTGCTTGAGTTTGAAATCTCCTGAAGATATTCTATGATATGTAGACCCAACTAATCTATTTGGAGTTCCCTATTTTGTTGGGGGGGGGAGTAACACATAAATACAACTAAATAGCTAGATATCTAGGGTAAATAAGGATAGTCCTGTTTTGAGCCATATGTTCTTCTGGACAGCGTACTGCCCTGCAGGTACTGTCAACCTAGATATAATGACATCCAGCCTATTCAACCACAACTTAAACAATATTTTATTTTAGTCTTAGAGTTGCTGTTCCATCCAAATTTGTTATTTCCAACAAGTTATACACTGCTAGTTCAAGGCATAAATATTATATATCCAGACCTCTCATGTAGGATTAGTTTTCTCATCAAAAGACCGAAAAACCTGAACCAAATCAAACACGTAGGCCAGAGGGACACAATTCTGTCTACTGTAATCATTTTTGCCTAAAGGCACACAAACAATGAACATTTTAAATTCGCTTCCACATGTCTTTAGGTAGTCTTATTTTTATGAGAAACATTCATATCCAGACCACAAAAAAGGATGCTTTTCAAAACAGCTGATGTTTCACTTGAAAATCCAGAGAAAACAGTCAGCATGGTTCAAATTCAGTTGGCTACTGAAGTTAGGTGTACAATGTCTGAACAGTTAATAAAGTTGCCTAGTAAAGTTAAATGGACCCTTGCTGAATGAGTGGCAGCTCTTTGTCTTGTAAAATTAGGAGAGAATGCCACTCAGCAGCAGCAAAGGTGGAATTGAAAACCTGATTTGAGGGTGCAACCCACATTTTGAAACTCAGTTTCAACAAAGGAACTCAGCACACATACGGTAACTAGCCATGATTTTGGAAGCTTTTATGTATTTTCTGCATCATCCATAGATCAAGGTTGCTCTGCCTGTTGTACAGGGTTGAAAGCAAATTTCTGTTTTTGAAACTTTCGTGGTCTGATAAAGGTATTGCCTTCCTTTACTTTCAGATTGTCCACAAGAATCACACAAATTTCTCCCCACCCACACACCCATATCTTTTGGATATTTCATCTCTCTTACTTGCTATTGCAGTTGAACTACATGGGCAAAGCAATGTCTGTCAAAGAGAGAAGCTACTCAACCACTTTGAGGATGAACTGGAAAACAGTATTTTCTGCAAATGACAACCAGAATCTAGTGGTATACTTCGACTGGATTCTGTTACTCTTGCCAGGATTGATGACACCTTCTCTGTCTTAGAGCCCACTGTAAAGGCCTTCTCAGGATGGATGAGAAGTCCTCCTGACCAGGTTTTTGGCACCACAGGGCTCTAGCAGAAAGGGGAGTGGAAGACTGTCCAATTTTACTTATACTGGATTGTGGCGTTCACCCTTATTATGCTGAATAGCTTATGCATTATTCATGTTTTATGCTGATGTGGTGGAGAGGCAGAGCCGAGAGAGAGATTAAAAGGTGGAGCCTGAGAGGAGAGGGGAGAGTAGAATTCAGTTAGAGTTAGAGAGAGAGGGAGATAGTTGAGAATCTGAGGAGTGATTAGTCTGAGGAGTGAATAGTAACCTGTAAAATAATCTAGAAGATTGTTATTGATGCTTGATGAACCTGAAGATACTTATGAATTATTATAGTCAATAAACCTGTTTTATTATAGTCAATAAACCTGTTTTATTCAAAAGACAGTGATGAATGGACCTTTGTCTTTCCTAAGTAAAGCATGTTGATTTAGTGATCAACTGGTGGTAGCGTCTGAAAAGGTGTTTTTGTTGTTGTTGTTTTTTGGTTTGCCTTCGTGATCTCTCTTTGAAAAGGTGTTTTTGTTGTTTTTTGGTTTGCCTTTGTGATCTCTCTGTTTTGGGGAGACAGACAGGAGCCACAAGGACCTCAACTGTCCTCAATGACTAAAACATTAGAAATGAAAGAAGGAAAATTGGACCTCAATTGTCCTCAATGACTACAGTAAAACATTAGAAATGAAAGAAGGAAAATTAAGACAGTGCAGGAGACTCATCATGCAAACATGGTGATACATTGCTTTTTAGCCTCCAGTTTTCTAGTCAATACCTCTAAAAAAGGAGTCTCCCTAAAATCTTGTTTTAGCCTAAGCAGCTACAGCCTCCTGCAAACATTTCATTCTTTCTGATTTACCAGAGTCTCTAAGTGAATATATTGAATCAAATAAGTACCAGTTGAAGTAAACTAAGAAATAAGGGGTGGTCTTAGTAGAGACTTAGTAGAGACTGTAGTTCAAAGTGCTCTGTAGGTTTTTTACCAAATCATTTTATCCACTGCATAAAAGAGGAAGTTTGTTTTTCAAAAATTAAGGCCACACTAAATTTTTCCTCACATCAAACTCTGCCAACAAACCAAACCCCAAAATATTTTAACTCTTTTGTATCAAATTCCCATTCACAAATATTTTGTACTATAACAAAGCTTTCTCTTTTTTTTTTAAAAAAGTATTGTTTAACTGAAACTGGTTACAGGAATTATGTAGCTACCATTAACACCACCCCATTACAGCAGTTCCACTGGGCACATTTCAAAGTGCTGTTTTTTACCTATGAAGCCCCAAATGGCTTGGATCCAAGCTATCCAAAGAATTCTAAGAATAATTGCTGCTTTTAGCTTTTAATATTGTTTTATTTAATGATGTAAGCTGCCTTATGTACTTTTTAAAGAGAAAAGTGGAAGTAAAAATATTTCAAATGAATGAATGAATGAATACTCACTTGTGTTGACAGATGTATCATTCAGGGACTTTGCATATAGTGATATTTGAGTACAAATATCTGCAATAAGAGTTAAGGATGTTTATCTTTGGAGCTTCTGGACATGGTGCTGCAAAACCTAAAGTACCAGAAGAGCGTATGGGAATTATGTAGCTGTAGGACATTGAACCATTCCCCTTTATGTCAGGATGAATTGGCAAGAAATAACAATAACAACAATAACAGCAACAACAGCAACAGCAGCAGCAGCAGCAGCAGCAGCAGCAGCAGCAGCAGCAGCAGCAGCAGCAGCAGCAGCAGCAGCAGCAGCAGCAGCAGCAGCAGCAGCAACAACAACAACAACAACAACAACAACAATAATAATAATAATAATAGTAGTAGTAGTAGTAGTAGTAGTAATAATACAATTTCAATGATTCCTTGCTCTGTGCTGCAGATGTAAACGATTACAGCAAATTAAAGTAACCCAAAAAGGGGATGTTGTTCTGGCTATTAGACTTTTAAAGCTGTAGGACTGCATTCAGATTTTAATGCAGTCAGGCTAGCTTGAAAATGTTGTTATGTGCTGTCAAGTCGCCTTTGACTCATAGCTACCCCATGAATGAGTGCTCTCCAGAATGTCCTGTCCTTAGTTGCCCTGCTCAGCTGTTGCAGACTCAAGATCATGGCTCTTTTAGGGAGTTAGTCCCTCTCATATTTGGTCTTCCTCTTTTCCTGCTGCCTTCTACGTTTCCCAGAACTGTTGTCCTTTCTAGGGAATCCTGTCTTCTCATGATGTGCCCAAAGTAGGACAGTCTCAGTTACAATATTTTTGCTTCCAGAGATACTAGTTCAAACTTAATTTGATCTAGGATCCTCTTGTTTGTCTTTCTGGCAATCCAGGGTATGAGCAAAGCTCTCCTCCAGCACCATATTTCAAACAAATTATTTTCTTTCCCTGACAGTTTTCTAACTGTCCACTTTTCACACCCATATATGGTGATCAGAAATACAAGAGTATGGATGTTCTTGGTCTTTGTCTCCAATGACACATCCCGTACACTTGATGATCTTTTCTAGTTTCTTCATTGGTGCCCTTCCTAGTTCCAGCCTTCTTCTGATTTATTTGAGAATAGTGTTATGAACAGAGATGGGGGTATTCGTAAACGAGCATGAATATCCCCCCACAGGTGGAGATAACAAGGGTCCAGCCCCATGGGGCTGGATGGTCCACTCGTGATTCCGCTGCAGCTGTGACCGCTACAGAGCCTTCCAATGGCTCTAGAGATCGTGTTTGGCTGGCAGGAGGTGGGATGACAAGCCTCTCTGCTACGTTGAAGAGTGGCTCACCGAACGTGATCTCCGGAGCCATTGGAAGGCTCTGTGGCGGTCGCTGCAGCAGCGCAATCATGAGTGGACTGTCCGGCCCCATGGAGTCAGACCCTTGTTATCTCCACCTGTGGGGAGATATTCGTATACGAATACCCCCATCTCTAGTTATGAAATTAATGGTAGAACCAATTTTAAAATGACATACATTGCCTTCTACAAGGGAATGTTTCTGAGGATTACTGATTTTACAGTTATTCCTGCTGCTTTGATATTTTTCTTTTCTTTCAGAAGAGCAGCCAGTCTTTACGGAACTTCCTCAAGAGGTGTCTGAATCAATCCCAGAATATACTGCTGAAGAAGAACGAGAGGATAATAGATTATGGAGAACAGTTGTCATTGGAGATCAGGAACAGAGGATTGATATGAAAGTTATTGAACCTTATAAAAAGGTTATTTCTCATGGAGGTAGGGAAAAGATTCATTGTTGGACATTTGCAGTATGAAATAAAAACATTGTAAATATTCTTATGCCATGGGAATGAAACTCAGAATGAGCTTCTGTATGCAGAAAGAGGCCTAGATCTCAAAGGACATGTGTAAGGAATTTTACATGCCTAGTGAATTCTTTGTGTATAAAAGAAGTGTGTTCTGTAATTATAGCAACAATATGCTTGCCTTATGGAATATATTGTCCCGTGATTAATTAAACATTTCTCTCCCATGCATGAAATGCTCAGTTTTCCAGATCCAAGATTCCTTGTCACAAACAAAAGGCGAGATTTGAAAAGAGAGAGAAATGAACCGTAGTGCATGCCTGGGGTTTAAATACAAGTTTGTACTCCATTAATTTCCTGCTCTCTGTCAGAGGAGTGCTCAGCCTTTCTCTGTAAACCTGACTACCTTTTAATATTTTTGTTCTTTTGTGCCCCATCTTGAAAAATCAAGAAGATACTCCTTTCATAAACAGTAGAAAATATATTGGACAAAATCCATTTATTCCGAATCAGCTCCACCTGGGATACATGCTGAAGGGGAATAGTCTTTGTCCTTTATTAGTTTGGAGTGGAGAGCAGACGAAGGGACTGCAGGAGAAAAAGAGCAAAAGAGTTGGTATTTGTCAAAACCTAGCTTTGCTAATTGTTTTGAGTGCTAGAGTGGATGTCCTGACATGTTTGGGCTATTACTAAAATTTTCTTGAGTCTGCAGATTATCATAACCAGTTCCCACGTATCTGAGACTAGAACAAACAGTGACCCGGCAAGCAAGAAGCTTGCAACTCTGATTTTAGCACTCAGTTAATGACCATAACAGATAGCATGAAATATAAATTTTGGTAGCTCATTAGAATTACTCTCCATTATGCATGACTAAAGAAATGCCACAATGCACACAATCATTTGGCTTATATAGGGTTGCTAGTTGGAAAGATTAAAGCGGTCCTGTGTAATTGTAGCACCACATCTGCCAAAACATATAGACTGTGCAAGGCTCAGAGCCAATTAAAAGGAAAGACCAATGACAGCACCATATGACAGCTATTGCATTGTGAGTCCTGGGGATTTTCTCATTTATATAACCAGAGAAAAACCCTTCCAGCTTTAGAGTGAGATAATTTTTATTTTAAAAAGGGAAGAAAATATTATTTCTCTGTTGAATCTGTCCATTCTTTTGTTATAATTATTTGTAGTTTCTTAATGAAATTCTTGTTTGAACACCAGTGAATAATGTGTGTAAAACAGTGCCTTGCTTGTGTGATTGTTGTGTATTAGTGTAGGAATCATGTGTCTGGGTTCACCAAAATGATAAAGAAATTTGAGTTTCACAAAAGACACAGTCTCTAAATATGGCCCTTCATTTGTGCAGGCTCTCAGATGGCAGAGAAGGTGGGGCATAAAGCAGAGGGTGAAGCTTAGGCTTCAGTCCAATCTTCTCAGACCCAGAACTTAAATATATTAATTCCAGGTTGTTACACTCACTACAACGCAGAAGTTGTACAAATGAGGAAAGAGCTATCCTCTTTGGCATGTATCAGATTCTACCCTCTTTGGCATGTGACAGATTCTGTTCATGCTATAACTCTCTGTTTATGTCTGCCTTCACTTTATTCATTTATTTTGAAATATATATACCTCATTTTTCTCCTTAAGCGAATAAATAGTATTAAAACAAACTGTACTAAAAATGACAAAAGATATTGCAGTGTCTTGTTTGAATTAAATTTCAGTTTATTCACTCTCCTTCAGTACACTACTGAAACGAGACACCAGTTTAGAACCCAAACAGCTTCCTCAGATTGAGATGGAAAGGAGAGATAGACTTGGGTAAAATCTGCATACCGGTGACACCAAATCCCCAAATTCTGGACATCTACCAGCAATTTCATGTATATGTGAAACAGTATGGGGGCAAAGCAGAACACTGAGGGACACCATAGGCCAAATGCCAGAGTGTAGAACAGGAGTCCCTCAGCACCACCTTCTGAGTTCACCTCTCTAGAAGGACCAGAGCCACTGGAAAACAGTGCTGCCAAGTCCCAACTTAATCAATGGTGGCAAAAGCCACTGAGAAGTGCAGCCAAATCAACAACAATATATCCCTACACCCAGTTCCCCGAGTAGGTCATCCACCAAGGTGACCAAAGCAGTCTCTGCCATTTTCCCAAATTCTACAGTCAATATTTAAATAGAAATTCTGGTTTGCAATTTACTGTATGTGACCTCACAGTAATAATGTGAGTTGAGTCTCTGGTATTTCCATTATGCAGATATTGAATAGAAGCTGAGGTTCACACAAACGGTGACTTTGTGCTAGGCTCAGCTAACATAAAGATACCATTCTTGAAAAATACCCTCTCCAGAAGGGTGTGCACTATTTTCCAAGGCTAGGACAAGTCACATAATGACAATGGCTTGAGAACAATGCTGACAATTCTATGGGCACCGAGTCACGTGTATGTACTGCCCATGTAGAGATGCTGGTTTACACCAGTGGTATTTACATAGGAACATGGTAGAGTTTCTCACAGGCTGAGACAATCCTTTGTTGTTTTCCCCAGAAATTGCCCAAAGATACTGCCCAGAAACTCAAGTGGGTATGGTGGAATCATAGGAGATAATATCTTCCATCAATTCAACTAGTTGCTTATGCAAAAGAGAGAGGACTTTTAGCTTTTGTTCTATCACTCCATCTACCTCCAAAATGGAAATTGATCAAGGTTTGCTAATCAAAGAATTATGGGAACAGCAAATGAGTGAGAAGATTTGGCAAACCTGGAATGGCCTGATATGCGTTGTTATGGATTCAGTTGTTGATTTCAACTAGAGTAACCGCACTAAATCAACGAGACTTCAATTTTGACATAACAAGTCACATTGAGTCTACTGTATTCGGAAATAAAAAACTGGATTTAAGTCTGTTCTTCAATTTGGTCAGGACTAACAAAGTGCCTTCTGTGAGCCATTCACCGGCATCAGTGGGATGCCAACATTGGTGTTACACCTAACAGCCTACTGGGGTGGTGGTAATAGCACCATAATTTATGACATATAGTGTTGCCTGTATTCGGAAATAAACCTGGATTTAAGTCTGTTCTTCAATTTGGCCAGGAGTAACCAAGTGCCTTCTGTGAGCCATTCACCAGCATCAGTGGGATGCCAACATTGGTATTACACCTAACAGCCTACTGGTGGTGGTAATAGCACCATAATTTATGACATATAGTGTTGATCTGATCTCTGAAATACTGACAATAGGAGTACAGGCCACAATTTTTAATGGGAATTTACCTGCAGCTGCCAACCACTGCCACTAGGTAAGCTGATATCAGGAGTGAAGGGGGACTAGGTGATGCCATTCTAAGAGAAGGCTGATTTTGGTCCTGATTTTGCATACTCTTCTCAACAAAAGAGAATTCTGAGCATGGTTTAAACTAATAGTTCATTTGTAATACCACATAATTGTATTCTTTACAGAACTATGGGTTTTGTAGCTTTTCTTGGCCTCTTTGAAGATGACCTAGAATTTTGAGGGAGATTTAAGACAGCTGTTCATTTGCAATACTACAGAACTGTATTGCTTTAATAGTTGTAGATTTGGTGGCTTTTCTTGCCCTCTGAGAGTTGTGATGATGAAGGCATCTGAGACTGGTCAGTAGCAACCTGTACATTTCCTGAGTATGTTAAGATTTCATATGTATCTGTATTCAGCGTCTGTGAAGCCAGCTAGTTGTGTTATTGCCTTGGTCCTGTTGAGAATCTTTTGTGAGACACAGATGCCTTTTTTGTTTGCTCCACAGGATACTATGGTGATGGTCTAAACGCCATCATTGTGTTTGCAGCATGTTTTCTACCAGACAGCAGCCGAACCGATTACAACTATGTCATGGAAAACCTTTTCTTGTGAGTGATGGGAACAAAGCGCTGAAGTCTTATTTGTTAATACTTGTTACTGTGTAGTGATAAATAGCCATTGTTTAATTAGGATATAAGTTCAGAGCTTAAGGGAGACATAAAGCCTCGGAAACAGTCGTTTTCTTCATTTAATTCTTCTCAGTCAAGCATTTAAGTTTCTTTCCATGTACAATGATCTGTTCCTGGAGAGAAACCTAAAAACAGCCTACTAGTCAGCTTCATCTTCTACTGTGATTGTTCTCCAAGATGCATCACAATCTTGTGCTTCCTGTTTCCAGTCAAAACATGAGCAACTACACATTTTAATATTTTATACCTCACTGCTAATAATAAAGGTGGTTTGCCTTACTGTTAGCACTTGAAGGTTTATTTATATATTTTGCTATACAATAACACACACACTAAACTAGTAAAAGCCATCTTCCAGTCTTTACCCATTCAAATCCACTAAATACAAGGTTCAACTGAAGTGGAATAAATGGGAGTTTTTAATCATGTACTTCTGCCTCATTTGTGCAGCTCCTGCATCACAGTGACATTGGTGTGTTAAGAAATTGTGCCAATATTTCATTTATCATTGGGACAGGGTATTCCAACATAGGGAGATAGCCTGTTGAAAATTCTCAAATTGAAATATTGTCTCCAGTGCAAATCTGAGATGAAGGCTTTTTTTTAAAAATGTGATTTATGAAATTTGGTTACAATTTACCATTGTGAATCTAAGCATACATATACACAAAGGAACGAGCTGGCTGCTTTGAAAGATGAAAAAATCCAGTGTTCCTGCTTTCAAGAGCCTATTAAAAGACAGCAGTTTTAAATGTGCATTTTATAAAATGGAATACAATAACCAGTTTTGCAAATGCACAAATTCTCTGTAGGACTGATGAACAAACAACTCATGTGACTTCAAGATTTGTTTGCTTGTTTATTTGTTTTGCACTTTCTGGCTTAACATGAGAAAACAATGCAGGTTGGGATTTGGAATGCTAGAATGACAATATGGAAGGAAACTTTATGGGATGATAATATGGGGAAATTGATTATGAGAGAAGAGTAACAATGTGGGGAAAAGCGATTCCCTTGTTCCCATTGTAATGTGTACCTTTGAGTCCTAGTATATTCCTTATGGAGCTTATACCCTTCCAGTTCTAATACTGTATAAACAAAATGTATATAGCAGGAAAGCTTCACTCGCATGGGTAGGCACTATTGTAGATCAAAGACAGGAAACACATTGGGTCTAGTCTGGATTTCCAGGCCATATTTCAGCCTTGTATCATGACTCAGGGTTCCTACAGTCACTTACTAGCTACCTACCAGTGTTTGTACAGTGTGTTCTCTGTCTTGAGTAGAATTTAGGAAAATAACCTTTTTCAAATGCAATACCTTGCATTCACAAACAGCACGACCAGTAGCAATGCTGGCTAGGAATTTTGGGAGTTGTAAACAGAAACACTTACTTTCCTAAGTTCTAGTCTTGAAGAATAAAATTAGTATGGCACTTCCCTAAAAAGGGCTATACCAGTTTTGACCTGTGTCACAAAAAACTTGGCGTGTGGTTGAAACAGCACTTGTGCAAGTGAAGCTCTGTTGCTTCCAGGTTAACTTTTATTACTTGCTATTAGTGCAGTAATAAAGAAATTTTTCCTGATGTTTTTCCAACATCAGGAAAAAACTCTGATGTTGGGAAAGTGTGAGGGCAAGAGGAGAAGGGGACGACAGAGGATGAGATGGTTGGACAGCATCATCGAAACTACCAACATGAATTTGACCCAACTCCGGGAGGCAGTGGAAGATAGGAGGGCCTGGCGTGCTCTGGTCCATGGGGTCACAAAGAGTCGGACACGACTTAAGGACTAAACAACACATTAGTGCAAAAAGTGGCTTATAAAATATTACTTTGAATTGAAGTGAAAAAAATTGGCTTGAAATATTTCTTTTTCTTGTCTCACTTATGCCCTTTCCCCCCAACAAGGTATGTAATAAGTACTTTGGAACTCATGGTTGCTGAAGACTATATGATTGTTTACTTGAATGGAGCAACACCAAGGAGAAGGATGCCCGGTTTGGGATGGATGAAAAGATGTTACCAGATGATTGACAGGCGGTGTGTCCATTTTCTTCCTTGACATATTACTTAAACATCATTCCCCCTTTCTCCCCAGATATACTAACATCCCTTTCTGGTGTAGTTTTAAAGATTATGAAAATATTATGTGGATATATGCATGGCAGTGGATGCCCATGATCAGTACTTGATAGTCATTTTTCTTAAGCAATGTGTTTCATCTTGAAGACTTAAAATATCTCTTTTCAAATGCAGGTTAAGAAAGAATTTGAAATCCTTCATCATTGTCCATCCCTCTTGGTTTATAAGGACAATTCTAGCAGTGATACGGCCTTTTATAAGGTACTGGTTCCAAATCCAGAAAGTTTCAAGCTTGTCCATAGTCAGAGGCCTTTCTAAAGTATTTCTGTTGTGGACAAAAGGGAAACAAGACATTGGAAAGAGGTAAAGGGGGGATTGTTCAGAAGACCCAACATGTGAAACCCTCTATACTGTATATGTATCTAAGGTGATCCACAATTGTTCAGAAGACCCAGTATGCATTAGGTATGTCACTACCTTTCAGCCTCACCTCCCATGCTTTTTGCAACATGGGACAGAACCACCAACCTACATTACATGGTTTATATATAGCATGCTGAGACAACATGTGAAACCCTCTATACTGTATATGTATCTAAGGTGATCCACAGGGAAGCTTATATGTGAAATGTATAAGTGGTTGATTTTAGTGTGTAATCCTATGCACATACTATACACAGTTAGTGGCAGGCAAGGCCCATTCACTCAGTGGAGTTTATTTTGGAAAAGAGGTCTATAAGACTGCATTGTCAGCTACTTAATATGGATAATGGAATGAACTATAAGAACTACCATGATATGTAATTTTCTTGGACAGCTGTACATATTTACTCCTTACCATATTTTTCTGTGTATAAGATGCCCCATGTATAAGACACCCCCACTTTTCCAATCCAAAATCAAGAAGTCTAAGTGAGGCTTAGCAAGTGTAGGGGAACTAATCCAAAATCAAGAAGTCTAAGTGAAGCTTAGCAAGTGTAGGGGAAAAAGGAAAAAGTGCCACAGAATCGCTTTGATCCCTGCATCCCGCTCCACTTGTTTTTGTTTTCGGCTTATTTCCGTGTATAATATGACTCTCAATTTTTGGTCTAAAGATTTTAGAGAGAAGTATAGTCTTATATACAGAAAAATACGGTAATTAACAAATGCTCCTTTTATATTCCAGCTCAAAATTCAGCAGTAAAATACACTATGTCAACAGTTTGGCAGAGCTCAGTGAACTAATTCCAATGGAATATGTAAATATCCCAGAAAGTATTGTCAAGTAAGTGAAAAAATAGTGAATTATGTATGTTTGCGAAACTGAAGAATTATTACTTTTAGGCAAATTTCTATTATCTTTGCAAATCACATTTCCCTGATTAATTATTTTTAATATACTAAACAAAATACTTAAGATTCTGAAAAAATGAAAGAAAACTCTTACATGCAGGATTTTGATCGTGTCAATGTCTACATTAAAAACAATTAATAAATGTTCTAAAATGTAAATACAGTGTTTGAAGTGTCCGTTTGGGTTCTGATCATTTCAAGGATCCAGGAATTATTTGCAATTTATTGCAATAATCTCATTAGTACAGTCCATTCCCAAAACTAAAAATGGAAGACATTCAGGTTATTGGTTCTTACCAAATGTTGCACAGGGCTTACTGAAATAAAGTCACTTGGATTAAAAAAAAAAACTTCCTTCATGGACAGAAGTGGTCCCTGTATCAACCAAAGGTTTATAAAGGTTTATGTTCCAGTGTATAATTTCTACTGGTGGTATGGGGCAGGAAGCAACTATCACTGATTTCCCCCCTCCCGCTTTCCCCCCTGCCATCCTGCGTTCCTTCTCTGAAAATCTGCTTGAAGTTAGGAGAGTCTCCAGAACAGTGGAGACCATACTAGGGTCTGCCTGAGGTAGGCAGAAATCAGCAAAAGACCGCCTCTCTGCGGGTAGGATCATTCTAGGAGGACCTCTGTTCAAGGAATGCTCTTGCCTGCAAAAAGGAACTGACCGTTTGTTTTTTGTTTTTTGTTTTAAATAATGGCGCCTTTGCTATTAGGATAACATATCAATACTAAGAAAAGTTTGTCCTGTCTTCCAGTGTTTATTTCCTCCATCATTGAAATAACAATGATGAAGTTATTTGTTAAGATAATTTGTTTATACAGGTTTGCTTGCACATTGTAAAGGTTTGGGCATACCTGTCTCAGAGTGCAGGTACAGACTGAGCTTCTCACGGTGTTTTAAAAGCATGCCTAAACCAGCCATTTATATTTTGGGGTGTGCGGACAGGATCCCAGTCCAGAATATCCAGAATATCCAAATGCAGCTGCCCCCAGACTATAGAATGCTCTCCCGACTGAGATTCGTCTGGCGCCGACGCTGATGACATTTCGGCGCCAGGTCAAAACCTTCCTGTTCCAGAAGGCTTTTAATTGAAATAACATCAACTGTGGGTCCTGATGGCAATTTTTAGATTGTATTTTAATTGAATTTTAATCGTTTTATCTTTTTTTGTATTTTAATTGTTTTCAGTTGTGAGCCGCCCAGAGACCTTTGGGTAGAGTGGGCAGCATATAAGTTGAATAAATAAATAAATAAATAAAATAAAATATACTGGTGACTCAGCCTTGCTAAAATAACCCTTTCAATTCCTGCTGCGGTTTACCAGAAAGACACATTTCAGATGGTGGCTAATTCTTCCTCAAAATAACAGTGTCTCTTTTCTGAAAGCTATATATAAAAAATAATCTGGGATTTATGGTCCAGAAAAATAAATTTTCTAGCTCTGCTTCATTTTAATAACTTGACTTAAGAATAGTTTGGTTGCAAATTTTGATACAGAAGTGAATGTTTGAGATAAATATAGCTATTGAATATAATTTGATCTGTTGTGTTTCTGTCCTTCACCCAATCTTATCTCGTAAGGTATGATGAAAACAGGTCCTTTCAGAGAAGAGTAAGGTAATACTCTTGCTCTGTTACATTCTGCTGATGTTTGTTATAGAGGGAGGATGAATAATGACTTCTCCATTATTGAATCCCAACAGCTTGGGCTGTTTGCTAGAAGATTGCAAAAATGCAATCTTCTAGCTCTGCAAAACAGCATTGAACCTAGGAGCTATTGAGATTGGTCTCATGTATAGTGGAAGTCCGCTAAACAGGAAAAATTCTTGATTGAGCCTGTTGTGTACTTGCCCACAACCATTTTAGTTAGTGCTCTTGTGGCTTTGTGCAGCATGCATGCTGCAGCTCCCTGCTAGCTTTGTAAGCCTGCCTCCAAATAAGTAAAATCTGGGAAATGAGAAAGTGAGAGAAACAACACTTTGAGAACTGAAGATTGTTTGTTGGGAAGAGAAATTGAAAAGCATGTATATTGCTTTACTTTTGCTTGGCTTTTCCCCTGCTTCTCTCTTATGCTCTGCTTGCTTCTTTCTCTTTTCCTCACCCTGAAACATCAATAACTTTTACTCACACAGACTGGATGAAGAGCTGAGGGAAGCATCAGCAAAGTAAGACAGCATTCTGATAATGTAATCCTATACATATCTGCTCTGAAATATACCCTATTGAATTGAGTGGGATGTATCCAGCTACACAGGCAGCTCATAGTCCAAGTGAGGGTGAGCATCACCATAAAACTGTGGAGGGATATTCCTTCCATCAACCGAAACCGAAAGCTGCCCTTGACTACCCAGTGAGCTCATATGAGATTGGAGGCTCAGTGAACAGTTTGCACATCTCATTCTTTCTGAGCTCTAGAGGGATATTCCTTCCATCAGCTGAAACCGAAAGCTGCCCATGACTACCCAGTGAGCACATATGAGATTGGAGGCTCAGTGAAGTTTGCACATCTCATTCTTTCTGAGCTCTGTTCAATCATGATTGCTAGTGAAGAGACCATATTTTAGAGGCTGCATTTGTGCTTATCAGTTTGCATTCAGCTTTAATGCTCAAGAAATATAATACAGTTATTCATCTACTGAAAGCCTAGCCCTGGCATTTCATAGAGTGCCAGATTGATTCCCTACATTATCAGAATCTGTAAAATCACTTCACTCTGTAGTTCCACTTAAATCTCTTAAGTGATTGATTACCACAACATAATATCCTATCCTAAATACACTGACCTAAAAATAGGTTTTATTGATTTCAGTGAAGTTTATTTTGTAATCAAATCAAATCTGCTGACAGCTTGAGAGGTTTTCTTTCTATTATCCATTGTATTGACTATTGACATAATTTACCCTTTTGAAAGAATTCATTGTTGACATTTATAAAAACAAACATGTTTGGAATGATTTACTTAGCTAAGTGAAACTCTGATGTAACACCTGGCAAATTGGCCAAAGATAAAGACTTTCTAGAAAACCAGATGATCTTGACAGATTTTAATTCAGACTAGGACTAATAAAGATCGTTATGCTTCAATCAAAGAAAATAATTCCACTGATTTATTGGGCTTCCCTTTATTATGAGCAGGCATTTTATGCTCAGGAAGGATAAGGATGATTAGCATATGCTATTCGAAAGATCATAAGATGTGATGTTGAAGGACTGACTTGGTGTGCTTTGGCTGTCAATACAATTGTATGTGCTTTGGCAGTCCCATAATGTAGGCTTTGTTTCCTTGAAGTAATGATACTGTTACAGCAGCTGTGTAGACCAAAGTAGCCATTTAAAAATGCATTAAAAAACTGCCAAAGGATTACCTTTTGAAACAACATTGAACTCTAGTATTCAGTTGAAAATAGGGACGTGGTGGCGCTGCGGGCTAAACCACAGAAGCCTGTGCTGCAGGGTCAGAGGACCAAGCAGTCATAAGATCGAATCCACGTGACAGAGGGAGCGCCCGTCACTTGTCCCAGCTCCTGCCAACCTAGCAGTTCGAAAGCATGCAAATGCGAGTAGATTAATAGGGACCACCTCGGTGGGAAGGTAACAGCGTTCCGTGTCTAAGTCGCACTGGCCATGTGACCACGGAAGATTGTCTTCGGACAAAACGCTGGCTCTATGGCTTGGAAACGGGGATGAGCATCGCCCCCTAGAGTCGAACACGACTGGACAAAAATTGTCAAGGGGAACCTTTACCTTTACCTTTAGCTTTATTCAGTTGAAAAGGTGTGCCTGGAATGATTTGTATGAATTTAGCATTGTAAGAAAATCAAGTTCAGCTGCAATTCTGCCTGTTCATTGCAGTCCCAATACAACAGATGATAATTGCATATTATGTTTTAAAAAACTGTTATTTAAAAAGTTGGTTCTATTCTATCTAAACGTTTTACAATGGCATAATGGCGTGTCTGGTGTGCTCTAGTCCATGGGGTCACGAAGAGTCAGACACGACTTAATGACTAAACAACAACAGTCATCTGTCAGCTTTGCCGTCTGCTACACTCAGCAAGCCCCATTTCAAACTAATATTAAAAGTGTAGCTTTGTCTCATACCATCCCTCCTCATTGGTGAGGATGGCTAATTTTCATACAGCAGCCCTGGCATACACAAGAGGACATCAAATTTTAATGTACAGAATCTTTATATATGTAGCATATTTTCTGTTGGATCCCAGAAATGAACATTTAAAAATATCCTTGCCTTGTTGACTGATCCTGTTGCCTAGTCATGCAAAATTAAATCCCTTTCATTAGAGGTAGGTTTTCCTTGAGGTGACTGGAGGGTTAATACATTTAAAACAGCTCACAGTTTCATAAATTTTTATGACATCATCTTTGAGACTTATGCTTTCGTTTATTTATTTAAAGCATTTGTCTATTAGCTTTCTGTCTAGTAAGGCTCTCAAAGTGATTTGCAATAGAGTACAAATATTAAAAACAGATTAAAACATTATTTAATAGCAGAACCAAATATCCTCTAAAGGTCAGTTTTGTAAA